ACGACCAAAAGAGAACTCTAGAGCTCAGATCAGATCTGATAGTTTTTTCGGTTGGTGGTTCTCGCCGGTTCAGATTGTAAATATGTGTTTGTTTCTTCTAGCCTTATGGATCTAGATTTCCGGCGTGTCCGGATCTTTTGTTGTAATATATTTCTGCTCGGCAGATCTTTTGTTCCGATCTTGGTCGGATTTGGTGTGTTCTTTTACAGGATTAGTTTTCTCCCTTGAAAACCGAGACCAGGCGGTGAAGATTTTGAAACTCTTTCCACTTCTTTTGGTGCTTTTCCTCCTTGGTTGGGAGTTTAAATCTCCCTAGTTTCCCCGACTTCAAGCCTTATGTGAAGGCAATGGGTGAATGGTCATGTGTGGTGGGCCGGTGTCAATTTCCTCGGTGTTTTGGAGTTTCTTGTCTGCATCTGCTTGGTTTTGTTCCTGTAGGAGATCTGGTGATTTTGAAGGTGTTTGGGTCGCTTACTTCGTCGGCGATTGGAAATCGTTCGGAGAGCTAGGCGGCGTCGCTACGATACAACCCTAGGGTCATGTGTATCAGTTGGGCTTATTTTTGGGTTGTGTTGTTTGTAATGGATCCTCCGATTTCACTACTTGAAGCCCATTGGGCTGGATAATAAAAATCTTTTGACGTCAAAGAAAAGAAGAGAGGTTTAATAATAATTTAATGCTCCCGTCATATCTGTGCTTGTGTCCACGTCAGCAATGTAACAATAAAGTAGAAGGGCAAATCCGTAAATAAACGGAAATTCCAGTGCAGGTTCTTGATCTTGAAGCGATTTTAGTTTCCCTCTCAAAAGAGGAAGTTTGTTTCAACTTTTTCACTCTCTCTCTTTTTCGCTCAACTCTCTAGAGCTCATTCTCCAAGCCAATCGCCGATAATCAATCTGTTCTCCATTACCGACGTTCTTCAATTCCGGATTGATTCGTAAGATTCCGACTCTCGCATCTCGTTTTCTTAAGGTTTCGTAAGATTTTGTTGCCAGTGTGGGTGAATCGAGTCTTTACCAAGTTTCTTCTTCTCTTACGTTCTCCTCGAGCTCCGAAGATGTCTAGTAGTAGCAAAGAAGAAGTCCGGTATGATCGATTTCACAAGTTTATACTCTGATTTCACAAATTTGATTCTGTACTTTTGCAGAACAAGTGCGATTGAGTTTTTCCCCCAAAAAAACCCTTTCGGATTCGACGATTCTTCTAGGTTTTATTGTGATTCTGTTAATTGCGATTCTCTTCTTCGTCTAGAAGCTCGTTAATTGATTCGTTTGGTGTCTCTGCAGGATTGGGGATTCTGTGGATTCTGAATCTTAGCCATTGAATCGAACGCATCAAGTGTTTCTGGGCTTTGGGATTGCGTTTCCGTTTCTCTATCTCGACTACGGTCGCTAAATCCGAGCAATCTCTTGCTCGATTCTCTTTTTTGTTGGTAAGATTTCGCAATGATTTACTTCGATTCAACGATATGTGTGTTTTCTTGTGATTGCTGTTACTTTGGAATTGAGATTCACTGCTATGTTGGCCATTGAACAGTCTTGATTTTGTTGATTGGCTCAGAGACTAGTTTGCTTTGATCGGAAATCATCAAGTGTTCTGGTCTTCTGTGATTATGCATTTCCGTTTCTGTTCTCTAGTCTACGAAATATGATCCGTTTCTTGCTGTGTTTTGGTACGATTCTTAGGTTTTCTTGCTATTATGTTACTTTTGCAGGTGCAGTTTCCTTACCCTAGTCGAGATATGGATGTGCCTTTGGATATTGACGTTCAAGAATATGCGAACAGATATAAAGGAAGAAACAAGCTGTTACGACTTGTGCACATTGCAAGGATGTGTTCTTCTCATCCACTGGTTTACAGCCACTACAGTGAGCTCGAGAGCCTCGCGATTGCATATGACGCCATCAAATCGGATCCAAAACTGTGTGATATTGAAATATTTAAGATGGTGGTAGAGCAAATACACGGGAGGTTGGGAATGCATTATGAGAACGATGATGTGTGGTGCGTAACAACAAAAAATGGATTTATCTTGCAAGACGGCCAGTTAAGGAGCAAGTTAGCACACGCCAAGGTGGAGAGTGAAAAGGACCGATATGCATTAGAGCTTGAAATCCTGCAGTATCATCAAGGAAATATGCGTTCTACTTTCACCGTTCTCTGGACGTAGTAGATCAATCCACGCTTGCATGTTAACGGTATTGGTGGCCATAGAGACCCGAAATTTTGGTCATGTTCGACACCGCACGCTTCTACAAATAGCCTATTACCATCAGGAAAAGGAGTATAAGTTCAAACTCAACTGTGCAACAGCAATTGCAGATTTAGGAGAAAAATGCTACGAGAAAGCAGCTGAAGGGGTAAATGTCTTTTTTTTTTAAAGGTTTTGTTTTCCTTTTTATGTCTTATAAATAACATTTTTTTCCGTAGTTTATTGCTCTACTAGGAGATGTGAATGAGTTCGCATACAATGAGGTGGTTTCTTCTGAAGATATCGTAGTATACGGACTTACTTGTGCATTGGCAACATATGAACCATCCAAGCTTAAGGTAACGACTTTGACCTGATTGTATCTTAATTGGCTAACAGCTTGATTTTACAACTTATTTCCTTGTGAAGGAAACCCTATTGGAGGTCACTGAACCGATTGGAGGTGTGGCTCATCATCTAAAAGACATTATAAAGCCTTATGGGCCTGGACATCATCTCATCAACATTATCAAACATTTTAATGCTGAGTGAGTTTTCCGTATATACATTAGGTCACATGAAGAAACATTTTAGTTTGACTTTAATTTTGCAATTTCATGTGTATAGGCGTTACGTTGAGTGTCTTGGCTTGTTGGAATTGACCAGACGAACACTTCTTCTAGACCTCTACGTATACGAACATGTCGATGTATTGTTCAACATGATGAAGGAGCGGTTAATGGATGCCATGTTTAGAGTTTCGAGGTCCTGCTACATTGAAAGAGAGAGTGATTTTTCTTGCAGGTATGTTTATGTGTGTGTTTGATGATGGATTCCGAATGTTTTAGACGTTTTATTTAGCATCAAAGCTTAGTTAGAGCTTTTCATGAACTTGTGCAGGTGAAGGATCTTCTTTATTACATTTACCAATTGAGCAGCTTTGTTGATGTGAGAGCAGATATGAAGCCCATTGAAAATCTGTAACTAAGCTTTGTTGATCTTCTTTATATGTAACTAATGAGATTAGCTCGAAAATCTGTAACATTGGAGTTGTTGGGTTCCGAATTATGTATAGCCCATTGAGCCTTTAATGAATGAAAAAAATATTTGCCGGCAAAAAAAAAAAAAAAATTGAATCGACCTGGCCCTTAAAAATTCGGGCTCAACCAAAACCATGTAATCACAACAACAAAATAAGTTACATGGGCCTATATGGTCTTCATATAAAGGAAAAACAATATCTTTTCCTTTTTAAATTTATATTAGGATTTCTAATTTTACAAGTATTATGATTTCTATTTTTACAAGTTATAAATAACATATCAATCAATCAAGATCTCATTCATTCCGAAGATTCTTCATCAATTTCTGAGAGAGGAATTCTTTGTTTCCTACAACTTTTTGTTTGATCTCTCAATGTATCCAAAATCAACTAAGGTTTGTTCGAATATGGGAAGAATTTGTGAGTTGCCTGACGATTTACTAGTCACGATTTTGTCATTCCTTCCGACAAAAAATGTGGTGGGGACGAGTGTTTTGTCAAAACGATGGCGACATGTTTGGAAACTGGCTCTAAATATCGATCAAGACTGTGTAGAGCTATGTGCTATATGCTCGCTGGATTGTTTCTCCTTTATACTAATGCATACCCCTACTCTGCGAGTTCTCAGGTTCAAACAACAAAGATGTTGCCGCGACCTTTTAAGAGAAAAGTGGAAGCGACCGGATTTTATACCCGAATGTTTGAATTCGAGCGTGGAAGCTGTGGAGTGGATTGGGTATAAAGGAAGAGAAGAAACAGAGGAAAAAGCGATGGTCCACATCTTGCGTTTTGCAGGTAATCTAAAGACGATGGATATTACTTCCTCGACATCCAACACTTTTGATGACAACACCCTCATAGTGGCTAACTTATTGGGTGTGTGCGGGATGTGTTCTATTTCAATTACACCTTGATTTGAGCTTTGATG